GGGCCCATTATACCCCACCACCACCCTTATCCCTCCCACCCAGCAGCCCCAAGACGTACACACGTCTCACCACTCCTGCTAAGTGCACTACCCCGCCCCAGACAGGAGTGGGCACAGCCCAAGACCCACCTGGATAGCAACCGTCTCTAGCGTCAGCTCACCTTCTATTGCCCCGCCAGCCCCAGCTCATAGGGGAGGCTGTGAGCACTCTTCGCCCCCTTCCCCAGGACCCCAAGACCCCAGCTCAGTCAGCACACGCCACAGCCAGGCTGCTGTGCTGAGCACCAGGCAGATTAAAGCTTAAATCAGCAACACTCAAGCATGACCACCGGGGTGGGAGGAGCAGGATGGGGCTGAAGCGGGAGGGATGGGGAAAAGGACAGGAGAGGGGAAGCAGGGCGGGGAGCCAAAGGAAGAGGAAAAAGAATAAAGAGAGGGGAGGAGAAGGGAGAGAAAGGGAGGGAGGGAGGGCAGAGGAATGGGGGAGGAAAGAGGAGGCACCTGGAGGTCAAGGACCTCACACCTCTCCCACCCTCCACAGGTTGCTGAGTCCTAGAAACCCTCCGTCCAGGAGGTGGAGTCAGTAGTCATGCGGTGGGAAGGCCAGAGCCTAAGTCTTCCGGATCATCTTTGCTGGCCCAGAACTGGGGTCATGATTGCTTCTGAATGTGAGGATTTATAGCACGCTGGGAGCACGCTTTCCCACAACGGGTGTGGGGCAAAGTGCAGGCTGTGAGGTCACCCAGACCAGGCTAGGCACTTGGTTGGGCATGAGCGGTCCAGCCTGGACTGATGAGCATTTATGCAACACCTCACGGCATTCCTAGGTCTGACCTAGACACAGTGGCACAGCCTCGACCTACAAATGCCCCAGCCTTGCCCTTCAGGCACTTATTGGGAAGCTTCTGGCCCCTCCACACCCACCCTAGCCCCCACTAGCTGGGTGCACCAGTGACAGTGACTTTGCCTCTCTGAGCCTCAGTGTCCTCTTCGTACAGATGTGATAATATTGGCATTCACCTAATGGAGACCGTCGGGGATGAAACAGAATATCGTGTGTGCATAACCAGCACATGACACGGGTGCCAGGGGTCTAGGTCAACACTCCAGAAATACTCATTTCATTCATTGGAAAATCAAAGGCACAGTACCTGCCGGGCTGTAGGCGCTCCAGGCCTGTAATCTCAGCATTTGGAAGGCCAAGGTGGGCGGATCACCTAAGGTCAGGAGTTTGAGACCAGCCCCTTCTGAATGTGGTGAAACCCCGTCTCTACAAGAATATAAAAATTAGCCGGGCGTGGTGGCGCATGCCTGTAATCCCAGCTATTTAGGAGGCTGAGGCAGGAGAATCAATTGAACTTGGGAGGCGTAGGTTGCAGTGACCCGAGATCGTGCCATTGCACTCCAGCCGGGGCAACAAAAGAGCGGAAAAAGCTTGTCTCAAAATAAAAAAAAAGGAAGAAAGAAAGCACAGTGCCTATATATCCCAGGGCCCTGAGACCCAGGGTCACCCACCTCTTATTGTTCTTTCCCTGGGGCAAGGGAGGCTATGTGGTATAGTGGTTAGGCACACAGCTCTGGAGTCAGTATCAGGTCTGAGGTTAGCAATACGTGGCGAACCCCATCTCTACTAAAAATATAAAAATTAGCCAGGCATGGTGGCAGGCACCTGTAATCCCAGCTACCAGGGAGGCTGAGGCAAGAGAATCACTTGAACCCGGGAGGTGGAGGTTGCAGGGAGCCAAGATCATGCAATGGGCAATAAGAGTGGGGGCAAAAAAAAAAAAGAAGTGGATAATTTCTTGTCTTAAAAATCTTCAAGGTGCCTGGCGTGATGGCTCACACCTATAATCCTAGTATTTTGGGAGGCTGATATGCGTGGATCATATGAGCTTAAGAGTTAGAGATCAGCTTGGGCAACATGTCAAAACCCCATCTCTACAAAAAACAGAAAAACTAGCCAGGCATGGTGGTGTGTGCCTGTAGTCCCAGCTACTCAGGAGGCTGAGGTGGGAGGATCACTTAAGCCTAGGAGGTGGAGGTTGCAGTGAACTGAGATCGCACCACTGCACTCCAGCCTGGGTGACAGAACAAGACCCTGTCTCAAATTAAAAGAAAAAAAAATCTTCAAGGCTAGGTATGGTGGCTTTTGCCTGTAATATCAGCATCTGGGGAGGCTGAGGCAGTGAAATCGCTTGAGGCCGGAAGTTTGAGACCATCCTGAGCAACACAGCACGACCCCACCTCTAAAATAAAAAAAAATAAAAAATAAATATAAAATAAAAATTTAAAATTCCAAGAAATACAGTCCAGTGCTGTCAATAGAACTCTCTGAGATGACAGGATGTTCTATGGCCACGTATGGTTGATGAATGCTTGAAATGTGGCTAGGGCAACTGAAAAACTGAATTTTCTTCTTCTTTTTTCTTTTTCTTTTTTTTTTTTCAGATGGAGTCTCAATCTGTCACCCAGGCTGGAGTACAGTGGTGTGATCTCAGCTCACTGCAAGCTTTGCCTCCCAGGTTCACACCATTGTCCCACCTCAGCCTCCCAGTAGCTGGGACTACAGATGCCCGCCACCATGCCCAGCTAATTTTGTTTTTGTATTTTTGGTAGAGACGGGGTTTCACCATGTTAGCCAGAATGGTCTTGATCTCCTGACCTCGTGATCCGCCCACCTTGGCCTCCCCAAGTCCTGGGATTACAGGTGTGAGCCACCGCAACCAGCCTTTTTTTTTTTTTTTTTTTTTTGAGATGGAGTCTTCCTCATCTCCCAACCTGGAGTGCAGAGACACGATCCTGGCTCATTGCAACCTCCGCCTCTGGGGTTCAAGTGATTCTCCCACCTCAGCCTCAGAAGTAGCTGGGATTACAGGAGCATGCCACCACGCCTGGTTAATTTTTGTATTTTTAGTAGAAACAGGTTTCACCATGTTGGTCAGTCAGCTGGGTGTGAGCCACCACACCCAGTCTGAATTTTCACTTTTTAAATTTTTTAATTAAATTTTAAAAGAGTCAGGCACAGTGGCTTATGCCTGTAATCCCAGCAATTTGGGAGGCTGAGGAGGGAGGAGTGTTTGAAGCCAAGAGTTCAAGACCAGTGTGGGCAACAAAGTGAGACCCCCCCCCCATCTCTACAAAAAACTTAGAAATTTTGGGGGCTTGTCTAGCATCCTCAGGGATGAGATCAGAGTTGCTTAGGAACCCGGGGAGGTGAGGGCTCAGAGGGTGGTGAGGGCACAGAGGAAGGGAGTGGAAACCTAACCCTCAGGCATGGGTCCCATATCCTTCCCCAGGCCAGGCCCAGGCCCTGGCCCCCAACTAGGGACAGTTGGGAGGTAGAGGTGGGAGGATCACTTGAGTCTGGGAGTTCCAGGCAACAGTGAGCTGTGATAGAGCCATTGTGCCCCAGCCTGGGAAACACAGCACGAGCGTGCCTCAAAACAAAGCAAAACAAAACAAAACAAAACAAAACTGAATAATAAAAAATAAATGTTGGCCAGGTGCGGTGGCTCATGCCTGTAATCCCAGCACTTTGGGAGACGGAGGCGGGTGGATCACGAGGTCAGGAGTTCAAGATCAGCCTGGCCAGGATGGTGAAACCCCATCTCTACTAAATATACAAAAAAGCCGGGCGTGGTGATGGGCACTGTAATCCCAGCTCCTCGGGAGGCTGAGGTGAGAACTGCTTAAACAAGGGAGGGAGAGAATGTAATGAGCCGGTATCACGCCACTGCACTCCAGCCTGGGCGACAGAGTGAAACTCCGGCTCAAAAAAAAAAAAAAAAAAAAAAATTAGCCGGGCATGCTGACGGGCGCCTGCAGTCGCAGCTACTCAGGAGGCTAAGGCAGGGTAATAGGTGAACCCGGGAGGCGGAGCTTACAGTGGGCCGAAATCACACCACTGTACTCCAGTCTAGGAAACAGAACAAGATTCCATCTCACAAGTAAATAATAAAATAATAAATAAAATGTTAATAAGCACATGCAGCTCAGGGCGACCATATTAGTGCAGACCACATGCATAAGGCTCAACTGGTGTTATGCCCAGACGCTGATTTATTCTTCAGCACCCCTCAGCTCAGACCTCCCTGGCACCTGCTCAGAGCTCGTTGGCACTCGGCAGCCGCTGCACCTCGCACTGGGCGTCCTCGTGGGCCTGCATGGCGCAGTTGGTCTTTTCCCGCAGGCGCTGCAGCTGTTCCTCTAGGGCCCGCCGCTCACTCTCGCTGTCGCTAAGCTGCTTCCGCAGGGTGCCCAGCAGGTCCTGGCTTGCCTCATAGCGCCCACCCATGTTCTGGGGCGTGGGGATCACAGAGTCTACGGGGGTCCTGGGAGGCCTCCAGAGCCCACTTACTCTCTTCTAGTTCCAGGGACACACACTAGCCTACGCTAGGCGGGGTCCAGGGCCTGGACCTGGCCTGGGACAGGATGGGGCCTAGGCCTGAGAGCCAAGCTTCCGTTCCCCTACTATGTGCCTTCACTACCCTCTGAGCCCTCACCTCCCTGGGGTCCCGGACAATTCCTGTCAAACTTCCCCGGATGCGAGACAAACCCCCAGGCACCTTCGTCTCCTGGGTTCTGACCCCACCCCCAGGGCTCCCAGGCTCCGCCCCTTTGCATCCTTGTTCCACTCTCAGACCCCTCCCTACCCTGGCTCTGCCCCTAGTTCCCGAGCTCCTCTTATCCTAGGCTCAAGATTCCCCTTGCTAGAACTTCTCCCAGAATCCTGGCTCTGTATGACCAGGGACATGACTCCCTTTCTACAATGACCCTAACACTGCAGCAGTCTCCTCCCTCCACCAGCTGTCCAAGCACCCCCATTTCAGGGCTCGGCTTCACCGCAGAGCTCTCGGCCACCTCCTTCGGGGTCATGACACCCTCAGGCACTATTTCTCAGGGCTCTGGCTGCACCCTGCGGCGCTCAGACTCCTCCCCCCGACCCTGGCCCCTGACCCGCCCCCTCTGGCTGCGCCCAGAACCCTCAAGCCCCTTCCTACCTGGACCTGCAGCTGGCACTTGTGCAGGGCAGAGTGGATCAGGGCGAGTTTGGAGGAGTCTGAGCAGGCCGGGGAGAGGGGCCTCGGCGGGGCGAACGGCCTCGGCCTGGCTAGGAGCGCCGTCGTGGGGACGGGGTCCACTGGCCCGAGAGCCCCGGCAGGCTCTCGGCTCCGAGACATTTGGAGATGCTCAGCTGGACGCCGCTCTCAACATAGCACAGGACGGCCTGAGGGTAGGGGAGGGAGGCAGAAGGAGGCCACAGAGTTAGGAACCGCGGGGTTAGCTGGTAAAGATGCCCAGGCGAGGCTGGGGGCTGCCTCATTCCAAATGCTCCCTCCTACAAGAAGCCTTCCTGATTTCACCTCCTCCACTAGCTCAGTCCTCAGCTCGCCGCTGAGGCCTCCGATTTATTGCGAAGACATCATTTGGCCTTGCTCACAGGTGGGCTCCGGAAGGGCTGTGCCTCCCCTCTGACACTGGGGGTTCCCCAGGGCAGGGGCCGGTTGAGCTAGCAGGGTAGCTGGGATTATAGGCGCCTATCACCACGCCTGTTAATTTTTGTATTTCATTTGCATGGGTTTCACCATGTTGACCATGCATGCCTGGTCTCAAAGTCCTGACCTGAGGTGATCTGCCCGCCTCAGCCTCTCAAAGTGCTGGGAAGACAGGCATGAGTCACTATACCCGCCACCTCTAATTCTTTTTTATTTTTTTATTTTTACTTTTATTTTTATTTATATATTTTTTGACACAGACTTTCACTCTTGTTGCCCAGGCTGGAGTGCAATGGTGTGATCTCAGTTCACCACAAACTCTGCCTCCCGGGTTCAAGCGATTCTCCTGACTCAGCCTCCCAAGTAGCTGGGATTACAGGCATGTGCCACCACCTCGATGACTAATTTTGTATTTTCTTTAGTAGACACAGGGGGTTTCTCCATGTTGGTCAGGCTGGTCTCAAACTCCTGATCTCAGGTGGTCTTCCTGCCTTGGCCTCCTGGGGCAGCTGAGATTACAGGCGTGAGCCATTACGCCTGGCCAATTTTTTTTATTTTTTATAGCGATGGGGTTTCACCATGTTGGCTGTGGATGGTCTCAAACCTTGACCTCCAGTGATCCATTTGCCTTGGTCTCCCAAATGCTGGGATTACAGGTGTGAGCCACTCATGCCCAGTCGACAACGTGTTGTTAAGTAAAACACACCCAGCCTGAATTTTCCTTTTTAAAACTTTTAATTAAAAATTTAATACAGCCAGGGACAGTGGCTTATGCCTGTAATCCCAGTAATTTGGGAGGCTGAGGTGGGAGGAGTGTTTGGAACTAGGAGTTCAAGACCAGCGTGGGCAACACAGTGAGACCCCCATCTCTACATTTCACAGAATGTGATATGGGATGCTTGCTGTGAACACAATCTGCTTAAAAAGACCTTCTTCCTTTCCAGGCATGGAAAGCCTCAGTTTACTTCCTTACATGGACCTGAATTCCAGTTCCCACCCTGCTACCCCAGCCACACACTGTACGAGTCTGAGCGAAGTCTCTCAAGCTTAAGCAACAGAGTTCTGAATTGCATGAGTTTGACAGGGAAGATAAATGACAGGAGTATAAAAACACTATTAAGAACCTGGCACACACAGCAGGTGTGGAGGAAACATTTGCTATCTCACTGCTGTGGAAACACGATGGGAAGGGAAAACCAGTGCTCCTAAATGAGTCAGGATGGCTAGATGAGGCTGTGAGAAGGCGCTTGCCTTTATTTCATTTTCAAACTCTCTTTCATAAGATCATGACAAAGAGAAGGAGAAAACCAAAACAACAAAATATCAAAACAACATGGCAGCTATGGATAATTTATTGTCTTAAAAATCTTCAAAAAGTGCTAAGAACGGTGACTCATGCCTGTAACCAGCACTTTGGGAGGCCGAGGTGGCAAATCACCTGAGGTCAGGAGTTCGACACCAGCCTAGCCAACATGGTGGAACCCCATCTCTACTAAAAATATAAAAATTAGCCAGGCATGGTGGCGGCACTGTAATCCCAGCTACCAGGAGGCTGAGGCAAGAGAATTGCTTGAACCTAGAGGTGGAGGTTGCAGTGTGCCAATATCATGCCATGGGCAACAAGAGTTGGGGGAAAAAGAAGGATAATTCCTTGTCTCAAACATCTTCGCTAGGTGCGGCTCATGCCTGTAATCACAGCACTTTGGAAGGCAGAGGTGGGTGGATCACGAGGTGAGGAGATCGAAACCAACTCCGGGCTGGACACGGTGAAACCTCATCTCTATTAAAAATACAAAAAAAATTAGCAGGGTGTTCTGGTAGGCGCCTGTAGTCCCAGCTACTCAGGGGGCTGAGTCAGGAGAATGGGGTGAACCTGGGAGGTGGAGCTTGGTGGTGTCAGCCGAGATCGCACCACTGCATTGGTGCAGCCTGGGCGACAGCCATACTCCGTCCTTCAAAAAAAAATCTTCAAGGTTCTGCGTGATGGCTCACACCTATAATTCCAGTACTTTGGGAGGCCGAGATGGGTGGATCATTTGAGCTCAGGAATTAGAGATCAGCCTGGGCAACATGGTGAAACCCCATCTCTACAAGAAACAGAAAAATTAGCCAGGCGTGGTGGTGTGTACCTGCAGTCCCAGCTACTCAGGAGGCTGAGGTGGGAGGATCACTTAAGCCTAGGAGGTGGAAGTGCAGTGAACTGAGATCACACCACTGCACTCCAGCCTGGGTGACAGAACAAGACTCTGTCTCAAATTAAAAGAAAAAAAAATCTTCAAGGCTAGGCATGGTGGCTTATGCCTGTAATCTCTGTGCATTTTGGGAGGCTGAGGCAGGGGAATTGCTTGAGGCCAGGAGCTTGAGGACCATCCTGAGCAACACAGCAAGACCCCATCTCTAAAAAAAAAAAAAAAAAAAGAAAGAAATACAGTCCAGAATAGGGTGTCAACAGTAGAACTCTCTGAGATGACAGAATTCTATGGCCGTGCATGGTTGATTTGTGCGTTTGAAATGTGAAACCTGCAAGCTGTGGGCCAGGTTGCTCTTCTCCCTTCAGGACAAGGGGAGGGGAGCAGAGGGGATGCTGGGGCTGCTTTCTCCAGGGAAGGTGGCTGCTCCCCAGCCATGAGCTACATCCTTCCGTCTTCCAAGGCACCTGCCTCCAGGAAGCCTTCCCTGACCACCCTGCCCATGGCTGACTCCATTTCACCACACCCCCAGCAGAAGAACCTGGCTTTCCTTCTCCCCTGGGCGCGTCCACTTGGGAGTGGATGGAGGTGCTGACATTATCTCCAAGCACTTGCCAGGTAGAAGAGGCCAGGCTAGGCTGCTGGGACACATGGGCAACTGTGCCACCAGCTCATGGTGGCCATGCATTCACGAAATGCCTCTTATAACACCCCATGCCCCTCCATCTAAAGCCCAATAGAGCTGAGTCTGCAGATCCCACAGCTTCCTGCTACATAGGCACATGGTGGCCACAGCAGGGCGGAGGAGAAGGCAGCAACTGGGACCCCAAAGACTTGCAGAGCTGCCACTTTCCTCACTGGCAGTAGGTGCTAAAAACCCTCACAATGTGATTTTTGTTTTTCTTGTTTTTTTTTTTTTTTAAGACAGAGTCTCGCTCTGTCACCTGTGGCTGGAGTGCAGTGGCACCCATCTGGCTCACTGCAAGCCCGCCTCCCAGGTTCACACCATTCTCCTGCCTCAGCCTGCCCAGTAGCTGGGACTATAGGCACCTGCCACCACGCCTGGCTAATTTTTTTTGTATTATTAGTAGAGATGGGGTTTCACCATGTCAGCCAGCATGATCTTGATCTCCTGACCCGTCATCTGGCCGCCCCGGCTCTCCCAAAGTGCTGGGGTTAAGGCGTGAGCTACCACATCCAGCAATTTTTTTTTAGATGGAGTCTCACTCACACCAGGTTGGAGTGCAGACACAATCCTCGGCTTGCTGCAACCTCCACCTCCAGACTTCAAGCGATTCTCCTGGGTTCCCAGCCTCCCAAGTAGCTGGGATTTTTGTGGCGCCATCACCACACCCAACTAATTTTTGCATTTTAATTAGAAGCGGGGTTTCACCATGTTGGCCAGGCTGGTTTCGAACTCCCTGACCTCAAGTGTTTCCGGCCTCAGCCTCCCAAATTGCTAAATGTTAGCGTGAGCCACCACGCCCAGCCCTAATTTTTATTTTTTTATATTTTACTTTTATTTTTATTTATTTATTTTTTTGACACAGACTTTCACTCTTGTTGCCCAGGCTGGAGTGCAATGGCGTGATCTCAGTTCACCACAAACTCTGCCTCCCGGGTTCAAGCAATTCTCCTGCCTCAGCCTCCCAAGTAACTGGGATTATAGGCATGTGCCACCACGGATGGCTAATTTTGTATTTTTAGTAACCACAGGGTTTCTCCATGTTGGTCAGGTTGTTCTGAACTCCCAACCTCAGCTGGTCCTCCCACCTCGGGTCTCCCAGGTTCTGGGATTGCAGGCGTGAGCTTACTGTGCCTGCCATTTTTTATTTTTAGTAGAGATAGGGTTTTTGCTGTTGGCTGGTGGGGCTGGTCTCAAACTCCTGACAAGCACCGCACCTGCCTTGGCCTCCCAAAGTGTTGCGTTTACAGGCGTTAGTCACCATGCCCAGGTGAAAATGTGCTTGGCAAAAATAGTAGAATGCGAAACGGGATGTGGGCTGCTGTGAACACAACTACTTAAAAGACCTTCTCCTTTCCAGGCATGGAAAGCCTCAGTTTACTCTCACATGGACCTGAATTCCAGTTCCCACCCTGCCACCCCCAGCCACACACACACTGTACGAGTTCGAGCGAGTCTCGGCTTACAACAGAGTTCTGAATTGCATGAGTTTGACAGGAAGATAAATGACAGAGTACATAAAAACCACTCGGCTAAGAGTCTGCACACAGTAGGTGTGGAGGGAAACATTTGTTATCTCACTGCCAGGAAACACGATGGGAAGGAAAACCAGTGCCCTAAACGAGTTAGGATGGGCAGATGAGGCTGTGAGAAGGCGCTGTCTTTTTATTTCTATTTTTCAAACTTTTCATAAGATCGTTACATTTATGAAGAGAAAAACCAAACAACAAAATACCAAAAACAACCTGGCAGCTATGATAATTTATTGTCTTAAAAATCTTCAAAGTGCCAAGAACGGTGGCCTGCGCCTGTAATCCAGCACTTTGGGATACCAAGGTGGTGAATCACCTGAGGTCAAGAGTTCGACACCAGCCTAGCCTATATGAAACCCCATCTCTACTAAAAATATAAAAATTAGCCAGGCATGTGCCTGTAATCCCAGCTACTCAGGAGGCTGAGGCAAGAGAATCACTTGAACCCGGGAGGTGGAGGTTGCAGGGAGCCAAGATCATGCAATGGCACAAGAGTGGGGGCAAAAAAAAAGAAGTGGATAATTTCTTGTCTTAAAAATCTTCATATGCCTGGCGTGATGGCTCCCATAATCCTAGTATTTGGGAGGCTGATATGCGTGATCATATGAGAGCTTAAGAGTTAGAGATCAGCTGGGCAATATGTCAAAACCCCATCTCTACAAAAAAATGAAAACTAGCCAGGCATGGTGGTGTGTGCCTGTAGTCCCAGCTACTCAGGAGGCTGAGGTGGGAGGATCACTTGCCGAGAGGTGGAGGTTGCAGTGAACTGAGATCGCACCACTGCACTCCAGCCTGGGTGACAGAACAAGACCCTGTCTCAAATTAAAAGAAAAAAAAATCTTCAAGGCTAGGCATGGTGGCTTTGCCTGTAATATCAGCATCTAGGAGGCTGAGGCAGTGAAATGCTTGAGGCTGAGTTTGAGACCATCCTGAGCAACACAGCACGACCCCACTCCTCTAAAATAAAAAAATAAAAATAAATATAAAATAAAATTTAAAATTCCAAGAAATACAGTCCAGTGCTGTCAATAGAACTCTCTGAGATGACAGGATGTTCTATGGCCACGTATGGTTGATGAATGCTTGAAATGTGGCTAGGGCAACTGAAACTGAATTTTCTTCTTCTTTTTCTTTTTCTTTTTTTTTTTTTTTTGAGATGGAGTCTCAATCTGTCACCCAGGCTGGAGTACAGTGGTGTGATCTCAGCTCACTGCAAGCTTTGCCTCCCAGGTTCACACCATTGTCCCACCTCAGCCTCCCAGTAGCTGGGACTACAGATGCCCGCCACCATGCCCAGCTAATTTTGTTTTTGTATTTTTGGTAGAGACGGGGACACCATGTTAGCTAGAATGGTCTTGATCTCCTGACCTCGGGATCCCCACCTTGGCCTCCCCAAGTCCTGGGATTAAGGTGTGAGCTGACCGCGAACCAGCCTTTTTTTTTTTTTTTTTTGAGATGGAGTCTCTCATTCTCCCAACCTGGAGTGCAGAGACACGTATCCTGCTCATTGCAACCTCCGCCTCTGGGGTCTCAAGTGATTCTCCCACCTCAGCCTCTGTAGCTAGCTGGGATTACAGGAGCATGCCACCACGCCTGGTTAATTTTTGTATTTTTAGTAGAAACAGGTTTCACCATGTTGGTCAGTCAGCTGGGTGTGAGCCACCACACCCAGTCTGAATTTTCACTTTTTTAAATTTTTTTAATTAAATTTTAAAAGAGTCAGGCACAGTGGCTTATGCCTGTAATCCCAGCAATTTGGGAGGCCTGAGGAGGGAGGAGGTTTGGGGCCAAGAGTTCAAGACCAGTGTGGGCAACAAAGTGAGACCCCCCCCCATCTCTACAAAAACTTAGAAATTTTGGGGCTTGTCTAGTGCCTCAGGGATGAGATCAGAGTTGCTTAGGAACCCGGGAGGTGAGGGCTCAGAGGGTGGTGAGGGCACAGAGGAAGGGGAGGGAAACCTAACCCTCAGGCATGGGTCCCATATCCTTCCCCAGGCCAGGCCCAGGTTCTGGCCCCCAACTAGGGACAGTTGGGAGGTAGAGGTGGGAGGATCACTTGAGTCTGGGAGTTCCAGGCAATGCAGTGAGCCGTGATAGAGCCATTGTGCCCCAGGCCTGGGAAACACAGCACGAGCGTGCCTCAAAACAAAGCAAAACAAAACAAAACAAAACAAAACTGAATAATAAAATAAATGTTGGCTCAGGTGTGGTGGCTCATGCCTGTAATCCCAGCACTTTGGGAGACGGAGGCGGGTGGATCACGAGGTCAGGAGTTCAAGATCAGCCTGGCCAGGATGGTGAAACCCCATCTCTACTAAAAATACAAAAAAAATAGCCGGGCGTGGTGATGGGCACTGTAATCCCAGCTCCTCGGGAGGCTGAGGTGAGAACTGCTTAAACAAGGGAGGGAGAGAATGCAATGAGCCGGCATCACGCCACTGCACTCCAGCCTGGCACAGAGTGAAACTCCGGCTCAAAAAAAAAAAAAAAAAAAAAAAATTAGCCGGGCGTGCTGGACGGGCGCCCGCAGTCCCAGCTACTCGGGAGGCGGCGCAGGGTAATAGGTGAACCCGGGGAGGCGGAGCTTTTCAGTGGGCCGAAATCCACCACTGTACTCCAGTCTAGGAAACAGAACAAGATTCCATCTCACAAGTAAATAATAAAATAATAAATAAAATGTTAATAAGCACATGCAGCTCAGGGGCGACATATTAGTAGACTACATGCATAAGGCTCAACTGGTGTTATGCCCTAAGACGCTGATTTATTCTTCAGCACCCCTCAGTCAGACCTCCTGGCACCTGCTCAGAGCTCGCTGGCACTGGCAGCCGCTGCACTCCTCGCACTGGGCGTCTCGTGCCTGCATGGCGCAGCTGGTCTTTCGCAGGCGCTGCAGCTGTTCCTCTAGGCCCGTCGTCCACTCGCTGTCGCGGCAGCTGCTTCCGCAGGGTGTCAGTGGTGGTCCTGGCTTGCCTCATAGCGCCCACTCCATGTTCTGGGGCGTGGGGATCAGCAGAGTCTACGGGGTCCTGGGAGGCCTCCAGAGCCCACTCTACTCTCTAGTTCCAGGGACACACACTAGCCTACGCTAGGCGGGGTCCAGGCCTGACCTGGCCTGGGACAGGATGGGCCTAGGCCTGAGAGCCAAGCTTCCGTCTCTACTATGTGCCTTCACTACCCTCTGAGCCCCTCACCTCCCCTCTGGGGTCCCTGGACAATTCCTGTCAAACTTCCCCGATGCGAGACAAACCCCCAGGCACCTTCGTCTCCTGGTTCTGACCCCACCCCAGGGCTCCCAGGCTCCGCCCCTTGCATCCTTGTTCCACTCTCAGACCCCTCCCTGCCCTGGCTCTGCCCTCAGTTCCCGAGCCCTTTATCCTAGGCTCAAGATTCCCTTGCTAGAACTTCTCCCAGAATCCTGGCTCTGTATGACCAGGACATGACTCTTTCTACAAATGACCCTAACACTGCAGCAGTCCTCCTCCTCCACCAGCTGTCCAAGCACCCCCATTTCAGGGCTCGGCTTCACCCGCAGAGCTCGGCCACCTCCTTCTCAGGGGTCATGACACCTCAGGCACTATTTCTCAGGGCTCTGGCTGCACCCCTGCGCGCCAGACCTCCCGACCCTGGCCCCTGACCCGCCCTCTGGCTGCGCCCAGAACCCTCAAGCCTTCCTACCTGACCTGCAGCTGGCACTTCTGTGCAGGCAGAGTGGATCAGGCTAGTTTGGAGGAGTCTGAGCAGGCCGGGAGAGGGGCTCTTCGGGCGGGGCGAACGGCTCCCGGCCTGGCCAGGGAGCGCCTGCCAGGACGGTCCCACTGGCCCGCGAGAGCTCCCGGCAGCTCTCGGCCCGGTGACATTTGAGATGCCTGCTGGACGCGCTCTCAACATAGCACAGGACTGCCTGAGGGTAGGGGAGGGAGGCAGAAGGAGGCTACAGAGTTAGGAACCAAGGGGGTTAGCTGGTAAAGATGCCCAGGCGAGGCTGGGGGCTGCCTCATTCCAAAATGCTCCTCCTACAAGAAGCTCTTCCTGATTTCACCTCCTCCACTAGCTTCAAACCTTAGCTCACGCTGAGGCCTCCGATTTATTGCGAAGACATCATTTGGCCTTGCTCACAGGTGGGCCCGAAGGGCTGTGCCTCCCCTCTCTGACACTGGGGGTTCCCAGGCAGGGCTGCTGAGCTAGCAGGGGTGCTGAGTAGCTGCAGCCTGGGCCCCAGGCTCCGCACTCTATTTGCAGTTCAGTCCCAGGCCAACGAAAGGAGTGGCGGGGAGCCGCAGGACTGACTGGCAGGGGCCCTTCTATCTTCCCCTCTCTGGCTCACCTGTGCCAGGTCCCTTAGGGTCTGCTGTAGCCCCTCTCCGTCCTCTGTCTCCCCAGGGGCCGCTCTGTTCTCCTGGGTAGTCGCAGCGATTCCTGGAGTGCAGTTAGGGAGACAAAGGGTGGTCCAGGTTCTGTCTTGCTCCTGAAACCTCCCTTCCCTCCCCTCCTGGCCCACAACTGACCAGGTGGCCTCTGAAGCCATGTCCATCGGCCAGGCACCTGGGTCTGTAGGGCAGTAGGCCCGGTGGCCCCTGCCTCTGAACAGACCAAGCCCAGAGAAGAGCTGGGGTTCCGCCCCATGTCACAGTCAATGTGGAGGATGGGCTGACCTAGAACCTGAAGCCAGGCCCCACACAGAGGGGGTGGGTGACCAAACCAGGCTGTACCTGGCAGTGGGAGTGTCCCACTGGTGGGGGAGGGGGAGAAGTTGGCTGTTGTGAGGCAGTATCTGACCTGGAAAGCGAAATGGGAGTTCAAGTCCCAACTCTCCTGCTTACTGGCTCTGAGACTGGACAAGCATTTCCCCTCTTGGGCCTCAGTTTCCCCATCTGTGTCATGAGGATTACACTACTGGGCTGCTGGGGGGAAGAAATGGGATGGAGGAGGTGACTGTGCTTACCACGAAGATTGCACACCTGTGAGGGCTGAACCTGAGTGTGAGTGGGACACTGGGGGTGGCCCAGGCGGCCCAGCCCTAAGCCTGCGTCCATGGATCTGGCCAGTACCCCATCCCACCCTGCCACATCTCAGGGGCAGCTGCGTCTCACCAGGGCCTCAAGCTTCGTGGTGAGGTCCTTGTTGACCTGATCCTTCTCCAGATTTTGCTTCTGAAGACGCTCCACTGCCACGCCCAGCTCTGTCACTCTGGAGTTGGGGGAGCAACAGAGGTGAATAGGGGACCACCCCTGCCTCTCAAATCCACTAGCTCTGTGTCCACCATGCTTCTCCAAACCCGAGGCAGAGACCCTAACATCCACCTCCCTGGCTGTGTGACCTTAGGCAAGTCCCGGCTCCTCTCCAGACCTCACACTTCTCATCTGTGAAATGGGAATGAGGTTCCCACCAGCTTTATCTCATGGGAAAGCACTTGAGGACGTGTCCAGGTGGCAGGAGTAAGGGGCACAAGTTCTTTTCTTTTTTTTTTTTTTTTTGAGACAGAGTTTCCCTCTGTCATCCAGGCTGGAATACAGTGATGTGATCTTCACTCACTGCAACCTCCACATCCTGGGTTCAAGCGATTCTCCTGTCTCAGCCTCCCTCATAGCTGGGATTATAGACACGCGCCACCACACCAGGCTAGTTTTTATATTTTAGTAGAGACAGGGTTTTGCCTGTTGGTCAGGCTGGTCTTGAGCTCCTGACCTCAGGTAATCCCCCCACCTTGGCCTCCCAAAGTGCTGGGATTACAGGTGTGAGCCACCACACCCGGCCACAAGTTCTGTCATCAGCCCCAACAAGATTAAAACACTACCAGTATATTCTTTAACTTGTGATGACTGGGATCAATAGCCCTTTCGGCAAAGAAAGGATGAACACTGTAACCCAAAGAAAAGAAAAGACTTCTTTCTAAAGTGGCTTCAGCAGCAAAAAAGACAAGAGGAAAGCAAGGAACCATGCCAAACGTCTTGGTTGAACCCTTCAGTGAAAGGACGACAACAGACAGACAGACAGACACAGGGAAATCACAGCAACTCTTTGCAGTGCAACACCAACCTACAGTCCATCCTCTTCCGAAATCCTGCGGTTAATGGTGAGGCTTGCCCCGCTAGTCGCGAGGTGATTCAGTGATGGCCACAAACGTTCATGTGCATCCTGGACCTGGCACACCTGGTCGCCCATCGCCAGCCCGGAGGCACCGCCAGAGCAGAATCCCGGAGGCCAATAAAGACTCCAACTTTGGGTGCCAGAGGGAACTGATTTCTGACTCGAAGGTGGGGTCCGGGGTCGTGCGTCCTTACAGATATAGGACGATGCCTGAAGCTGCTCCGTCCCTCCACCGCCTGCGATGCCGCGCCAGAACACTCCAAGCCAGCGACTTTCCCAGCGCACCAGAGGGCCGAGGGCGGCCGCAGCAGGGGAAGAATCGAGCTCAGGAACTCAGGTCCCGGCCGCACCCACAACCTCGCCCAACAAAACTCTGCCAGGCCGCGCCTCAACCCAGCTGTGCGCTCGCGGGTCCTAGATTCACCGACTGCCCAGCCGGCGGGGCGTCACCTCGGAAACGCTGGGCGGACTTCGCCATAACTTCCCATCCAGAGGGCAGCCGGCAGCCGCGTTGCCCGCCTCGCCCAGCTCCGGCGCAGCAGGTCGCCCGTACTGCGTTCCAAAGGCCATATGCTCACCAGAACAGCAGCCTCGCGACCTCACCTACCCTCCCAGTACCGCCGCGGTCTCAACTGCCACCCAGACCCTCGCCGCCGCGCCTGCGCCCCACTGGCCTCCCAGATCAGGCTTGGCCACGTCAGGAGGAACCCAAGGCGCAGGCGCGAGGAGCCTTAAAGGAATCTGGAGAAATTTACTGCACAAAGGTCTGAGAGACGGAGTAACCGAGGGAATGGACCGAGTGCCGCGGGACAGTGACCTTCTCTCCTCGCCTCTCTCTGTCAAAGCACCAGCCCACGACTCTGGGTAAGTCGCTGATTTCCCAGCCGCTATGGAAACAGTCAAGATGACAGCATCATCACTCATGAGACTGTTGTGACCACACAGGCAGAGCACTTGGCAGGGGGCTCATGCAGAACGTCTTCAACACATTATACTCACTGCACGTGTCTCTGGGAGGGGCACGGCTCTGCTTCATCCCGCGGCTTGCAGCTGGTTAAGGAGGCGGTGCTTCCAGGGAGAGGCCATCTGAAGACCGAACCTTGCAATGCGCCCCATTAGTGCCACAGGATGGCAAGGGAGATTGAGCATGGGCTGGGGGTTGGAGGGCTCTGGAGGGAGCTTAGCTACCGGATAGACTTGGGGTGGTGTTATCCGGGGAGGGGCCAGAGAAGCCCAGCGGTGGAGACAGTATGTGTGGTGCATCCACGCAGTGGCTGGAGCATCCAGCGGCAGGAGGTGGACATTCCCACTTTCTCTCCCCTTCCCTCGCTCCTGCTCCCACAAGGCCATGTCAGTTCTGCCCACAAGGCCATGTTGTCCTCAGAGCTGAGGGAGCAAGTCCTGAGAGTCGGGGAAGACCTAGGGAGGGCACAAACCCTGGCCTGACTGTGGCTACCCTGGACTTGATCATCATCTGTGCTGGGTAACAACCAAAAGAGCATAAGCAGAGTGGGGCAAGTGAACGCGCTTCGCCCATGGATTACCCGGCTTTCCCTACTCCTAGGGCCTGTGGGGCCAGGCTGGGCACTGGGAATGAGAGAAAGGAGCAAACTGCTTTCTGAGGCCAAGACCAACTCCTCAGAGCCCGGACAGGGTCTCTAACCAGGCATGACAGGGCCTCCCTGCAGTCTGTCAGCATCTGGGGTGTCAGGGCTACCAGGAAAAAGCCCAGCAGAGGCAGCTGCAGGAGCAAGGGGCAGGGTTGCTGAGACTGCTGGGGGTGATTCTGCCCACAGGCTGCCTGCTGGCCTCCTTGCCTGCAACAAGGCTGCAGGTGAGCAGAAAGTGAGATTGACTTGCCACTGGGTAGCTGCCCACCACGGTCCGG